CCATAGCACTGCCAGTATTTCTGAGAACGCTCGGTTCTCCTATTTTCCATAGAATAATTTGTAGATTTCAGTACCAGCACCATCAGTGGAGATATACGGCGTTTATTTTGAGATCGGCAAGCCTTTTAGAAGACGTTCGGAAAATTTTGTAGTTAGAAGCACTTGTTATAATATCAAAAGGTGAATGAAGCATGGGGAGACCACCAACTCTATCCAAGATTACAACCCAATAAAAAACAGATCCAAGGCTTTCTACAAAGAATGTAGTCCTCTTGCAACAAGTAAGCAACAATCTATGCCTGCAGAGTTAGTCTTCAAATTCTACACGTAAAGGATAGACCTGCATTTGTCAGGATTCCAAATTCTCAACTGCAGGCTGAAGCTCAGCAACTTCGGCACTGCCACCCCCTAGGAAAGCTCCAACCACCTTCCCGTCTTTAATTCAGTAAGATCCAAACTTTGGCTTTGGCGATTATAGGTTGTTGTCTCCCAAAAGCACAGTGTCCCCAACATTTTCGCCGTAGAACTGCCATGCTAGATCAATTGAACGAGAATAGAAGCATGGAAGGTAGTCACATTCAACAACTGATTCCCCCTTCTCACTTGCCTTGATGGCCTGAAAAAATGCCAGAAGGTTTTAACAGTTATGCATAACTGAGAAACTCAAAAACTGTATCTTACTTAAAGGTTGCAAAGATAGATTCTTGTGTTGAAAGTAACATTTAGATTCTTGTGTTGGAAAGCAAGGTTTGGCCAATAATTGAGTATGAAGATCAAGTCCATAAATATACACATAGATGAACCAAGTGAGGTAAGAAACCTTTAGTGCCTTGTCGGCTGAATTCCGGGCATGGTCAACCTGTTCAACACTTCTCAAGTCATTGTATCACTTCATAAGAAAAGTAGCTACATCACCCACAGCATATACATTGGGAACACTTGTTTTGAAAAAAGCATCAGTCTGCATTCAAACAATTTGTGTTTTCCAATTACATGCAGATCTTACTTAGGATTTATGCTTTAGGAATTTCAAGGCGACATTTATAGATGAAAAGGCATTTGAGATCATGCACTGATCAAACCAACCTTTATCCGCCCTTCTTCTCTTCAACCTGCCCTTTAAATAATGTTGTAAGAGGTCTTCCACCAACACCAACAACAACAATGTCCGCTTCCAGCACTCTGCCACCTTAAGTTTAACTTCCTTCACCTGAACAGTGGCCAAAAGTATCACCCATAAAAAATGATCAAAGCATCAAGCCCTCTGAAAGATGGCCGTTAACATCTCCATTTGAGTCAGAGGTGAATCCAACTGCAACTGTTCCCTTAATCATTTTGATCCCTTTATTAGCATAATGACCCTCATAGAAAGCAGCAACGCCAGGGGTGAAAAGCCGGGGCGCTACAAGAACAATCTTCTTTTCTAAAAAAACAAAGAATCAACCAGAAATCATATATAGTTTATTTATTACATGTGCTGACACCATATTCAACAGTATATTGGAAGGCCAACATAAGGCTTCTACTTACTGCACCATGTTCGGTGCTGACGTCGAAATTGTTAATTTTCATCTCAGGTCAAGCTCGAGACCAATATAGCCTCCTCCAACGATAACAGCCTTCCCATTCTTCTTTGCTTTGATCGCTTCTACCAACTTGTCAGCATCATCAATTTCTCTTAAGTAGAAGATGTTTTTGGCATCAGCTCCTTGCACTCCAAAATCTGTCAACCTTATAAACTGCAAGAATAACGAGTTAAACTATGCACGGCAGGCAAAACAAGGAATGGTTTAGGTTGAGATCCCTAGAAACCGTGACTCATTGTGGAACCAGCTGAGATGATCAAAATTTCATACTTGAATGTTTCTCTTGCTGCGCTTAATAGAGTCTTGGCAGGAAAATCTGCTTTCACCATTTCTGTGCTAAGGATCAATTCTATCCCTGCATGGATCAGAACACGAGAAGTATATCAAACGAGGCAATCTCCAAATTCTAAGCCAGAGATTGAATAAACAATGAATATTAGCTTCAATTCCCTTTTGGCAGATCCATTTTTCTATTATTTCGGCAATTCTCAAATTTCACATGAAATAAATTCGGGCAGACATATTTGCCAACCTTTTTCCTTGTACCACTCAGGAAGCAATCTCTCTCCGCCACTGCCAACGGAGACATGGAAATCAGGAAGTCTTGCAGCTCCTGCAAAGAACAAATCACCGAATTGATCCATGAAACAAAACAATCGGATGGCCAACAGAACGGTGTAGCAATTAAAAGCATAGTTATAATTGCATTTATACGAGTTTAGAATTTATTTCAATTTATCAAATAGGTACAATTAAGCACACTAGGTTACCCTCAGGGAAGAAATATCCCTTACTCAGAGCGGGACGTTCATATGGAGCCACCTATGCATAAGAAAGCAAAAGTCATGTAATATGCAATATAAATTTATCCGTTCATGGGATCAATAAATGACAACAGCAGCAGTTACGATCAGTGCTGTAGTGTAAATGCCACTGGTGCTGGCCTCTATTACAGTAGAATAGAACTTGGACAACATCAGACATATTGTAAGAGGAGCATCCAGAGGAAGGAGTCCCTTGAACATAGCAGAATGAGAGATTTTCAAAAGCTAACCTGTGTATTGGGTAATGAAATTATGTGATAGAATCAAACAAAGGGCTTGTATTTGATGAAATAGAATATGCTGACAGTGATCTAAAATATAAAATGCAAGCAAAATGGATAACTGCAACATAATAGAATGGCTAATCTTCTTCTAATGCAATGATAGTGAAAGTTTTATTAAATACAGTAAAAAGCATCCCCCTACTAGGAAATGATGCCCAGTTCGCCTGTCTGCACCCCCTGTTCGGCAAACTCCCCTCCTGCATATCCCTATAATCAGAAGAGGAAACTTTCAGGCAAAGAAAGTAAAGATATCAATCAAAGTAAATGCAACATAACCCTATAAACCGTCTGACAACTACATAAAAATGAAAGAAACTCCAATTTCTCACATTACTGCGTTCTAAGTAATGCAAAATAAAATCAAACCACCCTTTGCAACTCACACAGACACTCTACATGATTATAACTGCATGAGATGCATTACATTATGTAACAACATGCTTGGTTGCTTCAATATGAATCCATTTTCACAAAACATTTTAGCAGTGAAGACAATTTCTGCTCTTTCTTTTGCTCAGCGACTTCTCCTTCTTCCTTTTCTGTAATTAACCGATTTTTGTACTGTAGATTGGTCAGACATATTTATAGGGAGGCCAGCCTCCTTCTTGGCTGACCTTTGGATGTCAACATGATTTTGCCACCCGGTATAAACATTGCCGTTCATCACTGCTTACTGTGCATCTTCCCCGACTAATTTTTCAGAAAATTAAGGATTTTGAAAGGACAGTTGAAGTTGATGTCATTGATGATGCAATGATTTTCATACACTTTAATGAGTTCGTACGACCGGTACCATTATATCATCGCATCAATCAAAAGAATGAAAGTTAATTATTAAGGAAATAAAAAGAGAGTCACGGAAGTTTGACTCTATTATGGAACGAAAAATTATTATTTCGGATAAAATTGAATCAAAATATTACATAATATTATAAAATTTTATTTTAAATTTGAATATTTCTTTTATATAATTTGATTAAAATTGAATTTTTTGATTCAATTCATTTTATTAATTATTGAAATTTAAATTTTTTTGGTTTTTATTATTTATTTTAATATAAAATTTTAATTTATTTAAATAAATTTTGATATAAAATTAGACGAAAAGATCAACGAAAATATTTTAATTTTATATAATTTTTTTAACTATTGATTTCATAGATATAAGGAAGAGATTACATTATTTTTTATTGTTTTATTTTAATAATAATTTATTAAAATCAATAATTAAAAAAATGTATACAACTTTTTTTGTATAATTTGATCATTCCCCTAAAATTATTATTTTTATAAAATTTAAAATATACATAAAAATTAACAAAAATATATAATTTTATTTGATTCAAAATTTCTTTTTGTTTTTTATTTTTTTATTTAAAATTTGATATAATATTTAATATCCGAATTTAATTCAAACCAAATGACAAAAAAAACTTCAACCAAACCAAACACTATAATTTTAAATTAATTTTTAATTTTTTCCCATTCTTTTCTTGCCTCAATTACTCAACATTCAAGTTCAACGACTTTCAGTTAAACCTTCGACGCATGATTTTCAAGTGACGAGCTGCGATGGAATAGGCCTTGGTCGTGGGTTTAAGCCCAAATTAAAACAATACGTATTTTCATATTTTTGGTCAAGCTTTAATCCGGTTGAGAGTAGCAAGCCCAAGGACAAGATTTTTCATTTAAATTTAATAAATGTTCATATTTTTTCTATAGCATGTTTGCATATGCTTCAAAAAGAAAATACTACAACGTTTGCATAGTATTCACATAACATAAGATTCATTGGGCAACAAATGAAAGTACAAATGAGTGTCCAATACAATTTGAATGTCGATCGCAACTCAATGGGATCGATTATTTAATTGCATTCAAATATTAATGAGATCAACATAAGTAGCTAACATTTGGTGCTATTATTTGATGTTACTATAGGCAATGAACATATATATATAAATCTTCTCAAAAGGAAAGCAACTTATATTAAATCCAAACAAAAATTGTAATGAGATTTGTTTCCAAATAAACTTTACCATGCAGCTCCATATGAATATTTATAGACTACTATTATCACACCCATTCACTCCACTTCAAAACAGCCCTTCGTTCATCATGAAAGGTTTCATATATATTTTACTTCTTTCGGTCCTTCTCCTTGGCAAATTTGGTGAATCGATTCTCCTCTTTCACTTTTTTTTTTTGTTTAATTACACTATATTTTACTGTGATTTATTTATTTTAATAAATAATAATTAATTTTATACTTTATTGTAATTCGCTTTTCAGGAAGTGAACCAATGATGGCAGAGGCAAAAACTTGCCATATATTTTTGGAGGATATGCCAGGGTGCAAGGTTGACGACTGCACTGCTGACTGTTCCAATAACTATGGACCTTTGGCTTTAGGGAGATGTGTTAATAATTTTGAATGTCACTGCGATTACCGCTGTTAATAATTTCACTTTTTTTTTTACTCCATCAAGGAATAAATAAAAGAAATAAATGGAGCTAAGTTAAGTATTTTATGAATTATTATATTCTTTTCTCTTTTTTTTTTTTTTTACATTTTTTCGTTGTGTGAGGATTGAATATTGGCATATGGGAAAATCATTTCATACAATATCGGTAAAATTTTTTAATTTTATTAATGGATTATCTCATCCTATTAAGATATATTTAAAAACATTAAATTAATATAATAAACAAAATTGCATGCGATAATTTTTTTATTTTTATTTATAAAATTTAAAAATTTTATTAACAAAGAACAAAACAATTATCCATTTACATTTTCCTTATATCAAATTCCAAAATGATACTAAAATTTATTGAATTCTTAAAACATTGTTTGAAATGACAGAGTCAATTAAAAACGAAAAGGAGAAAAAAGAAAGGATATTTCTTGCATGAATAATAGAAGGTATCATTGAAAAAGGATATCAAACGAGGTGATGTGTCTAAAAAAATGAACCAATGTGTTATAAAGTAAGGGCATTGTTGCACATTTTTATTTTTAATTTCTGCTTGTTTGCTTTAAAGTTTTTATTTAAAATTTTTAATCTTGTATTTTTCATGCACCTACCGGGCATAAAAGGATAACATTAGCAATAGCATATCTAGATTTGAAGATTTTTGTATTTATTTCATGTAAAATATTAAAATTTATATATTTATATCGTATTTATACAAAAATTACATATTATAATTTATATCAATGCAAAAACATTAAATATTTTTTTTATTTTGTTAAACTCATATATAATTATTATTAAAATCTTTAATCGTATTACCTTCATGTTACTTTTTCATATCGTATTCATTTCATGTTGACATATTGTTTTAATTTCTTTTTTCTAATAATAGTCTCATTTATTTTTTTTTTTCTATAAAACTGAGATATTAAAATTGACTATCAAGCTTAGGTTATTTATTTAGAAAATGAGATGAAAATAATAAAGGTTTGTACATAAAAAATGGTTAATTTAAATTTAAAAAAAGATATATTCTTATTCATCAATACTACTGACTCTGACATTATTTTTCAATCAATTATTGAAGGGCAATTCCTTATATTTACAACATATATATCCTTAGTCATGGTTAGCACTTACCATCCAATTTTTTTACTATCAAAGTTAAAATTTAATTATTTTCATAATTAATAACAAAACATTATTATAGCAATATTATTGCATAAAATGCAATAATTGATAAATTTTTGTCAATTCAATAATTAGTTAATTCGATGATTTTTAATGTATCAGTTGAAAACATTACTCAATATAGCAACTTTAGAAATACATTTAAAGCACTCGATTATAGTTTTTTTTCCCTTAAATATTATTATATAATAATAACTGTTTAATAATTAAAATATTTTGGTTCCAACTAAGCATTTGAATTAAAATAAAAAAAAATAAAGAGTTGTGAGTCTTATTACATGTACCTACACATTCATGTGCGTACGTAAACACCAACAAATTTATATATGTATTTATATACATTAATACGTACGTATAAACATGTATTAAAAAAAAGCTATGGTTTACGAGCTAGGGTTGCTGCAGCAGCAAATGAAAAAAATGGCTTTTTTGGTTTTAGTCTTTAGCTTTTGAAAAGTCTTTGACAATCTTAATAAAGAAATTTATTGCGATTGAAGAAATTGTTTAATTTTGCTGACAATGATCCATAGCCATTCCACATTAATTTGCCTTGTTGCCTTTTGCTCATATCGATCTTACTCACAACTTGTTTAGTTGGTGGAAAATTAAAATAAATAATTAAATGATTAATTTATCAATAGTTGTTTAAGATTGTCAAAATTAAGGGTTTATGCTTTTTCTACCAAGTTCCTCATTAATACTTAAAACCTAATAATCTTTAATATAATTTAACTTTAACCTTGTCTCTATTTTTTTAATGTTTTATGTTGTAGTTCTTTTTTAATATTTTGCTAGTATAATTTTTTTAATTTCATAGGAGAAATTTAGAGATTAATATGTATTTATTTTTTTAATTTTTAATATATTTTAAAAAAGTATATATCATCTTACTAAACTCATTTATGTAATTTAAAATTTTCATTGATAATAAATGAAATAATTTTTTTGATATTAGTTTTACATTTTTGTATTTGATTTAATTTTAAATATTAAGCATTTCCACTCAAAAGTTAAATTTAAAATTTTTTTTTTATAAACAATATCATTTTTTTTAATTTAAAATGACTATTGTTTGAATAAAAAATTTTTAAGCTTACAACTGATTATGTAACTTTACAAAAAAAATGAATTTTAAATTATTCTAACTAGTTAAAAACTAATAACAAGATGAATTAATTTGAACTCATATAAAACTAAAATACACCAAAACCTGAATTATTCAAAATTTAAAAAAAAAAAAAAAGTTTGTAAAATGTCTAGTGTCGTATAAGTAATACAACTCATTGATTGCGACCATTGTTTGTTTCATTTTGTTTCGACATTTTCGTTTGTTATTTTATTTTCTTTTAGCGCTTTCGATGAAAATGAAACTTCCATTAAAAAAACATTCACATTTTCTTTTGTTTGTTTTTTTATTTCATCAATGAATGTAATTTACATTCTATTATGTAAAGATATTATGTAAAGCTTCTTTTATCTGAGGTCAAGGGAAAAGATATAACAGAGCTTATTGCATCTGGAAGGGAGAAGCTTGCCTCGGTACCATCTGGTGGTGGTGTTGCTGTTGCAGCTGCTGCACCTGGAGCCGCTGCTGCTCCAGCTGCAGCTGAGACCAAGAAGGAGGAGAAAGAGGAATCAGATGATGTAATAACTCGAAACCTTATTTTTTTTCTTAATTTATGATTATCTAAAGTTTTGTTGCAATCTTGGTTTTGTGCATTTAGTACTATCACAGATATATTTCTTCTAATTAACTTCTGTTTTATTCAATTTGTTGCAGGATATGAGCTTCAGTCTCTTCGATTAAAATGTTGATTGGTTTCTGCAGAAATTTTCTTTTTCAGTTTAAGCCTGACTTAGATTTGAAGTTTTGTTATCCAAGAGGATGTAGTCTTTTTCTTTTTTTTTTTTTTCCTGGATTCAAATATTGGATAGACAAGACATTTGTTTTGCTGAAACTTAATGTTGCAATGGAATTCTGAGAGTTCATTATGATGAGTTTCTTGAATCTCATGTCTAAGGATGATGAAAGATAGAACGAAAGTAGATTAATTTTCTTCAATATTATTGTGCAAGTTTTGAAAGAATTACTGTGATTTATGTGTTGTGAATTCATATGTGCAGTCAAAGGCACCGTAAGTTGAAAATTTGTGATATGGACCATGTTTCCATATTTGAGGGAACTGAGAAGTTGATGTCGAGAATGTTAATTGATTCGAGGTCGCATTTGTCGAAATACTAATCAAAGATTGAATCGTTTGGTTGGGAGTACTTTCCATGGTCAAGTCAGGCGAGTTTGCTGTCAATGTAAAATACATATTTTGATAAAATTACAAGATATGGTAGCCCTTGTACTGCACCCTATGGCAGTATCCTCGGCCATGGCACTGCCAGTATTTCTGAGAACGCTCGGTTCTCCTATTTTCCATAGAATAATTTGTAGATTTCAGTACCAGCACCATCAGTGGAGATATACGGCGTTTATTTTGAGATCGGGCAAGCCTTTTAGAAGACGTTCGGAAAATTTTGTAGTTAGGAAGCACTTGTTATAATATCAAAAGGGTGAATGAAGCATGGGGAGACCACCAACTCTATCCAAAGATTACAACCCAATAAAAAACAGATCCAAGGCTTTCTACAAAGAATGTAGTCCTCTTGCAACAAGTAAGCAACAATCTATGCCTGGCAGAGTTAGTCTTCAAATTCTACACGTAAAGGATAGACCTGCATTTGTCAGGGATTCCAAATTCTCAACTGCAGGCTGAAGCTCAGCAACTTCGGCACTGCCACCCCCTAGGAAAGCTCCAACCACCTTCCCGTCTTTAATTCAGTAAGATCCAAACTTTGGCTTTGGCGATTATAGGTTGTTGTCTCCCAAAAGCACAGTGTCCCCAACATTTTCGCCGTAGAACTGCCATGCTAGATCAATTGAACGAGAATAGAAGCATGGAAGGTAGTCACATTCAACAACTGATTCCCCCTTCTCACTTGCCTTGATGGCCTGAAAAAATGCCAGAAGGTTTTAACAGTTATGCATAACTGAGAAACTCAAAACTGTATCTTACTTAAAGGTTGCAAAGATAGATTCTTGTGTTGGAAAGTAACATTTAGATTCTTGTGTTGGAAAGCAAGGTTTGGCCAATAATTGAGTATGAAGATCAAGTCCATAAATATACACATAGATGAACCAAGTGAGGTAAGAAACCTTTAGTGCCTTGTCGGCTGAATTCCGGGCATGGTCAACCTGTTCAACACTTCTCAAGTCATTGTATCACTTCATAAGAAAAGTAGCTACATCACCCACAGCATATACATTGGGAACACTTGTTTTGAAAAAAGCATCAGTCTGCATTCAAACAATTTGTGTTTTCCAATTACATGCAGATCTTACTTAGGATTTATGCTTAGGAATTTCAAGGCGACATTTATAGATGAAAAGGCATTTGAGATCATGGCACTGATCAAACCAACCTTTATTCCGCCCTTCTTCTCTTCAACCTGCCCTTTAAATAATGTTGTAAGAGGTCTTCCACCAACACCAACAACAACAATGTCCGCTTCCAGCACTCTGCCACCTTAAGTTTAACTTCCTTCACCTGAACAGTGGCCAAAAGTATCACCCATAAAAAATGATCAAAGCATCAAGCCCTCTGAAAGATGGCCGTTAACATCTCCATTTGAGTCAGAGGTGAATCCAACTGCAACTGTTCCCTTAATCATTTTGATCCCTTTATTAGCATAATGACCCTCATAGAAAGCAGCAACGCCAGGGGTGAAAAGCCGGGGCGCTACAAGAACAATCTTCTTTTCAAAAAAACAAAGAATCAACCAGAAATCATATATAGTTTATTTATTACATGTGCTGACACCATATTTCAACAGTATATTGGAAGGCCAACATAAGGCTTCTACTTACTGCACCATGTTCGGTGCTGACGTCGAAATTGTTAATTTTCATCTCAGGGTCAAGCTCGAGACCAATATAGCCTCCTCCAACGATAACAGCCTTCCCATTCTTCTTTGCTTTGATCGCTTCTACCAACTTGTCAGCATCATCAATTTCTCTTAAGTAGAAGATGTTTTTGGCATCAGCTCCTTGCACTCCAAAATCTGTCAACCTTATAAACTGCAAGAATAACGAGTTAAACTATGCACGGCAGGCAAAACAAGGAATGGTTTAGGTTGAGATCCCTAGAAACCGTGACTCATTGTGGAACCAGCTGAGATGATCAAAATTTCATACTTGAATGTTTCTCTTGCTGCGCTTAATAGAGTCTTGGCAGGAAAATCTGCTTTCACCATTTCTGTGCTAAGGATCAATTCTATCCCTGCATGGATCAGAACACGAGAAGTATATCAAACGAGGCAATCTCCAAATTCTAAGCCAGAGATTGAATAAACAATGAATATTAGCTTCAATTCCCTTTTGGCAGATCCATTTTTCTATTATTTCGGCAATTCTCAAATTTCACATGAAATAAATTCGGGCAGACATATTTGCCAACCTTTTTCCTTGTACCACTCAGGAAGCAATCTCTCTCCGCCACTGCCAACGGAGACATGGAAATCAGGAAGTCTTGCAGCTCCTGCAAAGAACAAATCACCGAATTGATCCATGAAACAAAACAATCGGATGGCCAACAGAACGGTGTAGCAATTAAAAGCATAGTTATAATTGCATTTATACGAGTTTAGAATTTATTTCAATTTATCAAATAGGTACAATTAAGCACACTAGGTTACCCTCAGGGAAGAAATATCCCTTACTCAGAGCGGGACGTTCATATGGAGCCACCTATGCATAAGAAAGCAAAAGTCATGTAATATGCAATATAAATTTATCCGTTCATGGGATCAATAAATGACAACAGCAGCAGTTACGATCAGTGCTGTAGTGTAAATGCCACTGGTGCTGGCCTCTATTACAGTAGAATAGAACTTGGACAACATCAGACATATTGTAAGAGGAGCATCCAGAGGAAGGAGTCCCTTGAACATAGCAGAATGAGAGATTTTCAAAAGCTAACCTGTGTATTGGGTAATGAAATTATGTGATAGAATCAAACAAAGGGCTTGTATTTGATGAAATAGAATATGCTGACAGTGATCTAAAATATAAAATGCAAGCAAAATGGATAACTGCAACATAATAGAATGGCTAATCTTCTTCTAATGCAATGATAGTGAAAGTTTTATTAAATACAGTAAAAAGCATCCCCCTACTAGGAAATGATGCCCAGTTCGCCTGTCTGCACCCCCTGTTCGGCAAACTCCCCTCCTGCATATCCCTATAATCAGAAGAGGAAACTTTCAGGCAAAGAAAGTAAAGATATCAATCAAAAGTAAATGCAACATAACCCTATAAACCGTCTGACAACTACATAAAAATGAAAGAAACTCCAATTTCTCACATTACTGCGTTCTAAGTAATGCAAAATAAAATCAAACCACCCTTTGCAACTCACACAGACACTCTACATGATTATAACTGCATGAGATGCATTACATTATGTAACAACATGCTTGGTTGCTTCAATATGAATCCATTTTCACAAAACATTTTAGCAGTGAAGACAATTTCTGCTCTTTCTTTTGCTCAGCGACTTCTCCTTCTTCCTTTTCTGTAATTAACCGATTTTTGTACTGTAGATTGGTCAGACATATTTATAGGGAGGCCAGCCTCCTTCTTGGCTGACCTTTGGATGTCAACATGATTTTGCCATCCGGTATAAACATTGCCGTTCATCACTGCTTACTGTGCATCTTCCCTGACTAATTTTTCAGAAAATTAAGGATTTTGAAAGGACAGTTGAAGTTGATGTCATTGATGATGCAATGATTTTCATACACTTTAATGAGTTCGTACGACCGGTACCATTATATCATCGCATCAATCAAAAGAATGAAAGTTAATTATTAAGGAAATAAAAAGAGAGTCACGGAAGTTTGACTCTATTATGGAACGAAAAATTATTATTTCGGATAAAATTGAATCAAAATATTACATAATATTATAAAATTTTATTTAAATTTGAATATTTCTTTTATATAATTTGATTAAAATTGAATTTTTTGATTCAATTCATTTTATTAATTATTGAAATTTAAATTTTTTTTGTTTTTATTATTTATTTTAATATAAAATTTTAATTTATTTAAATAAATTTTGATATAAAATTAGACGAAAAGATCAACGAAAATATTTTAATTTTATATAATTTTTTTAACTATTGATTTCATAGATATAAGGAAGAGATTAAATTATTTTTTATTTTTTTATTTTAATAATAATTTATTAAAATCAATAATTAAAAAAATGTATAAAACTTTTTTTGTATAATTTGATCATTCCCCTAAAATTATTATTTTTATAAAATTTAAAATATACATCAAAATTAACAAAAATATATAATTTTATTTGATTCAAAAAAATTTTTTGTTTTTTATTTTTTTATTTAAAAATTGATATAATATTTAATATCCGAATTTAATTCAAACCAAATGACAAAAAAAACTTCAACCAAACCAAACACTATAATTTTAAATTAATTTTTAATTTTTTTCCATTCTTTTCTTGCCTCAATTACTCAACATTCAAGTTCAACGACTTTCAGTTAAACCTTCGACGCATGATTCTCAAGTGGCGAGCTGCGATGGAATAGACCTTGGTCGTGGGTTTAAGCCCAAATTAAAACAATACGTATTTTTATATTTTTGGTCAAGCTTTAATCCGGTTGAGAGTAGCAAGCCCAAGGACAAGATTTTTCATTTAAATTTAATAAATGTTCATATTTTTTCTATAGCATGTTTGCATATGCTTCAAAAAGAAAATACTACAACGTTTGCATAGTATTCACATAACATAAGATTCATTGGGCAACAAATGAAAGTACAAATGAGTGTCCAATACAATTTGAATGTCGATCGCAACTCAATGGGATCGATTATTTAATAGCATTCAAATATTAATGAGATCAACATAAGTAGCTAACATTTGGTGCTATTATTTGATGTTACTATAGGCAATGAACATATATATATATATATAAATCTTCTCAAAAGGAAAGCAACTTATATTAAATCCAAACAAAAATTGTAATGAGATTTGTTTCCAAATAAACTTTACCATGCAGCTCCATATGAATATTTATAGACTACTATTATCACACCCATTCACTCCACTTCAAAACAGCCCTTCGTTCATCATGAAAGGTTTCATATATATTTTACTTCTTTCGGTCCTTCTCCTTGGCAAATTTGGTGAATCGATTCTCCTCTTTCACTTTTTTTTGTTTAATTACACTATATTTTACTGTGATTTATTTATTTTAATAAATAATAATTAATTTTATACTTTATTGTAATTCGCTTTTCAGGAAGTGAACCAATGATGGCAGAGGCAAAAACTTGCCATATATTTTTGGAGGATATGCCAGGGTGCAAGGTTGACGACTGCACTGCTGACTGTTCCAATAACTATGGACCTTTGGCTTTAGGGAGATGTGTTAATAATTTTGAATGTCACTGTGATTACCGCTGTTAATAATTTCACTTTTTTTTTTACTCCATCAATGAATAAATAAAAGAAATAAATGGAGCTAAGTTAAGTATTTTATGAATTATCATATTCTTTTCTTCTTTTTTTTTTACATTTTTTCGTTGTGTGAGGATTGAATATTGGCATATGGGAAAATCATTTCATACAATATCGGTAAAATTTTTTAATTTCTGCTTGTTTACTTTAAATTTTTTATTTTTAATTTTTAATCTTCCTTGTATTTTTCGAGCACACACAGGGCCTTAGAAGGATACCAAAAGCTGTAGCATATATAGATTTAAAGATTTATGTATTTGTTTCTTGTAAAACATTAAAATTCATATATTTTTATTGTGTTTTATACGAAAATTACGTGTTATAATTCATATAAATACAAATATATTAAATATATATTTTATTTTGTTAAATCTATATATATTTATTACTAAAATTTTAAATCATATAATCTTCATATTAATTTTTGTATAATATTCATATCATGTCAATATATTATTTTATTTTTTAAATATTATTCTCATTTATTTTTTCACTCTAAAAATGAGATATTAAAATTTATTATCAAGTTTAGGTTATTTATTTTAAAAATGAGAGAAATGAAAACAATAAAGGTTTGTTCGTAAAAAATGGTTAATTTGAATTTCAAAAAATATATATTCTTATTCATCAATACTCATGGCTCTAACATTGTCTTTCAATCAATTATTAAAGGGTAATTTCCTATATTTACAACATATCCTTAGTCATGGTTACCACTTACCATCCAATTTTTTTACTGTTGAAGTTAAAATTTAATTATTTTCATAATTAATAACAAAACATTATTAAGTATTATTTTTGCATAAAATGCAATAATTGATAAATTTTTGTCAATTGAATAATTAGTTAATTTGATGATTTTTAATGTATCACCTTAAAACATTACTCAATATAGTAACTTCAAAAATACACTTAAGGCACTCTATTATAGTTTTTTTTCTTAAGAATTATTATATAACAATAACTGTTTGATAATTAAATATTTTTGTTCCAATCAAGCATTTGAATTAAAATAGAAAAAAGAAAAAAAAAGTTATGGGTCTTATTACTTCTACATATACGTTCATGAACATACGTAAAACCAACAAAGTTATATGTATGTATTTATACACCTTAATGCATATGTATATACATGTAAAAAAAAAAAAAAAGCTATGGTTTACTAGCTAGGGTTGCTGCAGCAGCAAATGAAAAAATGGCTTTTTTGTTTTTAGTCTTTAGCTTTTGAAAAATCTTGGACAGTCTTAATAAAGAAATTTATTGCGATTGAAGAAATGATTTAATGTTGCTGACAATGATCCATAGCCATTCCTCATTAATTTGCCTTGTTGCCTTTTACTCAAGATTGATCTTACTCACGACTTGTCTAGTTGGTGGAAAATTAAAATAAATAATTAAATGATTAATTTATGAATAGCCGTTTAAGATTGTGAAAATTAAGGGCACATGCTTTTTCTACCAAGTTCCTCGTTAATACAAAAACCTAATAATCTTTAATACTTTAACTTTAACTTTGTCTCTATTTTTTTAATGTTTTATGTTGTAGTTCTTTTTTAATATTTTGATAGTTTAATTTTTTTAAATTCATAGGAGAAATTAAGAGGTTAATATATATATATATATATATATCTATTTTTAATTATTTTTAAATTTTTAATATATTTTTAAAAAGTATATATCATTTTTGTCATAACATATAAATCTATAAATTTATAGCTAGATTTAATAAAATGGAATTACCATCAATCTTTTTTATCTATGTGTGATTGGTCACCTAAGAAATCTATCATTTTAAGGAACTCCTAAGCTTGATTAAGGGTTCCTAAAAGAATAAGTTCGGGTCTACTAACCAGAACAAGGTTTGGAAGTCGGTTACATGTGGAGAATGTTATAGCACCCCTACATGCCCATCCGAAGATGGTACCATATTATTTTAAATTTATCTTATGGTCTTGAATCTAATGGTTTTAAATTTTTATGTTAAATATTGAAAATAATTTATAAGATTCTTCCATCAATCTGGAGAACTCTTAAAAATATTTCATCATCTCAAAAGTATTTAAGAATCTCATTTGATATCTTGAAGAGGCTCCATCGTTGAAAAAATATTTATTTATTATATTTTTGTAAGAAATATATATAATTATTTCATCATTTGGGCAAAATTAAAAATATTTTCTCTTTTTAAATTTCTAAATTTTTCACCATTTGGGCCTACTTAGAAATTTTTTTAATTTTTTTTATTTTCAAAAAGAAAATAATATGACAATTATTTTTTATTAAAATTTCATTTAAATTCTTCTACCATTTGGGATAAATTTAAAGAAATTTCTCACCTAAAGATTTCTTAAAAAATTTACTATTTAAAATTTTTAAGAATCTCATCATTGGATAATTGTCTCATATTTTCAACCAAAATTTTATTGTTTTATTTTTTTATTGAAAATAAATATTAATTATTGTTATTGAAACTTTATCTAAATTATTCCACAATTTTGGACAAATTAGGACAAAATTTCTTACAATTTAGATAAAATTTCTTTCCTAAAAATTTTATAGAAATTTACCATTTGAAATTTTTATAAATTCCATCATTGGATAATTAATATTTATTCCCAAAAATTTTTTTATTAAGTTTTACACTTTTTATTTTTCCTAAATTTAATCATAAAAAAATACTAAGAAAAAAACTAAAATACTAAATAAAATAAATTAAAAAATACCAAAGAAAAACAAAAAAAAAATGGCTTTGCTGGCAGCTGGATCGGCTCAGCTATAGATATAAGAAGTGGCTAAAAGGCACGGCTCAAAGGTATGGCTTTGCTCAGCTCAGCGGCGAGATTCGACTGGGATGCAGGTCACAGAAGCGGGTTGACGTGCGGGTTGGGTCGCCTACTAAAAAACGTGTGAATATTGGGATTTACTTAAACGCAAAACGATGTCATTTTTAATATAAGGCTAATTCTTAACTTTTTCAGCAAAATTCTTCTTCCTCCTCTCTCTCTTCCCCGTTCTTTTCTTTTCCTCTCTCTCTTTACCCGAATGAACTCCGGTTGAATCCTTCATCAGATTTTGGAAAACGTCGTCAAAATTTTGGTTGGGTCGCTAAACGGTCACCCAGAAATTTAAACTTCGTCGAAATTTTCATCGAA